CCCCAAAACCCCAAAACCCCAAAACCCCAAAACCCCAAAACCCCAAAACCCCAAAACCCCTATTTCAACTCCTCGTACAGAAACTACATAAATAATTAAACAGCTCTTATAGCTACTCTAGGCATGGGAAACAGTAGTTGCTGAACTAAAGTGAGAAGTCGGATCGGCTGACTGGAAAAGGAGCCAGATAGGCCTTTTACAGTGGAGGAAAGAAAACTGAGACATGGTAAGAGAGGGTTAAGGAATGGCTAGGTGAAAATTATGGATGCTGCACGAATTGGTGCATTTCTTAGGGATTTGAATTAGGATTTATGAGGTTTTAGGTAAGACCAAGGCTCAGAGAGAGTATATACTCCTAGAGGGAAAGCAAAGGCTTGAGCTCTTACTTGAGAGTAATATTGAAACCCAATCAGGAGCAAGTGAGGGGGGAAATAGTTCAAGAAGTATTGGTGGAACTTTGAGATCAATTAAGCGAAGAAGTGCCCGAAGTCAATCAAGATTAGCTTTGGAGCAGAGTAAGTCTCTGAATTGAACCTTAGTGCTCTATACTCACAATGAAACTGTTTATTCACATATCAATGAACTACAAAATGAAAGTGGTAGGCTCTGACTTAATCCTTAGGAATTAGTGTAAACGATAAAAAGCCTGAGGAATATGATTGGTTTGAAAATATGGGAGCCTTGGATTCGAAATACCTTAACAGTTATGAAGAAGGAAAAACCATCGATTCACAGTACATTTTAGACTTCTATCATATGATGAAGAACAACTTTGAGACTGAGAAGTGGGAGATTCGATGTGACAGCCCAGAGGCAAAATGATGGAGCTCTCCAAAAGGGTCACCATTTACTAAGTAAATAAAAATTCTTAAATTATAGAGATCATCTCTGTGTTCATATCGAAGGATGAATAGGAAGCAAATATCCTTATGAAATGATTATTGATGCAGTACAGAATACTAAATCTCGGCTAAAATGGGACAAGAATGTCGATTCAACGATATTTTTGGAAAGGATTGCCAAAAATGTATATATAAGAAGGACCAAAACCAGAAAGATAGCTATTGTGAGGTATAGTACCCAGAAAAATTAACCTGATTTAGCCCACGTGATGTATTAGAGAAATAAGATAGTTTTGAAAGTTAAAAATAACAAAAGTGGAAGTGTTGACACCTATGTGTACAGCAGCTCAGTTCCTGATTCATTCTATAAGAAAGAGAAAGGAGTTGTCAGAGCAACTAATATCTTCTGTAAGCATTGTTTATAATTACTAGTTGTATTGAAAATAACACAGTTGAAAGATGGAAGAACGAAGTATACAAGTTATGCCCAAGCAGACCCTAATTTCTTCTTCAACGTCATGCCGATTTTCAAAGCTCTTTGTGGAACTAAGATTAAAGAGTGGTATGAAAGCCTTATTGGGTTCTTAGACTCTCAACTCGAGAGTAAAAAATCAGAAAACTAATGATTTAGATGACTCCATATTCATAAAAAATTGTTTTGAATATTCTGATTCAATGATTCATAAAAGTAAAGGGGTTTTGGGGTTTTGGGGTTTTGGGGTTTTGGGG